GGGGGGGGGGTGCCTGCCTGTCTGTGTGTTTGTGTGTGTGTGGTCCATGTCCCTCCTTCCCAGAGAGGAAAGACAGGTTAAATGGCTGTACTGATCTTAGCCACATCTTCTTTCGTGTCCCTGAATTTTTCCAGCAAAGACAACTGATTACTGCTTCTCTAAATAGTAAGCGACTCCTCCATGAGTCACAAAACAAAGATGGATACAATAGAAAGAGACCTTTGAATACTTGAGTAAAACTATTCTGTTGTACCCAGACTCACTGTTGTGGTTACTAAAAACTTTTTACTTATAACAGTTATTTTTGTGGTGTTTCTGATGGAAACAGCTAATATGTAGCAAATGTAATCATAATTGCCTGGCCTGCATGCCTCAGTGGTTGAGCATCGACCTATGATCCAGGAGATCAAGGTTCTGTTCCTGGTCAGGGCACATGCCTGGGTTGTGGGCTCGATCCCCGGTAGGGGGTGTGCTAGAAGCAGCCGATCAGTGACTCTCATCATTGATGTTTCTATCTTTCTCTCCCTATCCCTCCCTCTCTCTGAAATCAATAAAGACACATTTTTTTAAAAAATGTAATCATGATTTGCTTTAGCACTTTAGGTAGAACTAGAAGACAAGCTCCATTTTTCTTTTCAGGTGAGCGTGTGGGAGCCTTCACAGTGGTCTGCAAAGATGCTGATGAAGCCAAAAAGGTGGAGTCGCAGTTGAAGATCTTGATTCGTCCCATGTATTCCAACCCTCCTGTCAACGGGGCCCGGATTGCCTCCACCGTTCTGAACAGCCCCGATCTGCGAAAACAATGGTAAAAGCACATTGCCACCCCCCAGCCACCCACCCCACCATAAGCTTTCAAAGCATGTTTGTAGTTGGCCACTAGTGACACACAGTATCACATGGCTCCCATATGTGGAAGGGGGAAGAGAGAGAGGAGTGCATTTTGTTAGCACTTTCCAATAAGTACGTTGGTCTTTCCCTGGAAGAGACAAACATAATGCAGAGATGGTAGTTTCTTTCATTCCATCATCTCCAGGTTAAGTAAAACCTGTCTGCCTTCTCCTAAATTCAAGTTCATATTGAAGTATCTTCCACAGAAGAACTTCCTTAAGGACATCATATTTTTTGTTTTTAATAGCTAGCACTGAATTGGTATTTCTGCGTCTTTTGGTTTTTTATTATCTGTACCTCCTGAGCTCTAAGTTAGTATTACTCAGTCTTTTTGACCACAAACCACATAAGACATACACGTTACATGATGATCCTAAACACACATTAGCTATATATGTGTGTCTATAACTGAAACAGTTCCAAAACTCAACACTTAGGCTTCATTTGCTTTATGCCAATATTTTTTAAATGCCAGTTGCATCCAGCTACTTGAATTTATTGCCTGCTAATGGGCCATGATACATCTTATAAAACACTGCTCTGACCCTGGCCAGTGTAGCTCAGTTGGTTGAATGTCATCCGGTGTACCAAAAGGTGGCAGGTTCATTTCCCAGTCAGGGCACATACCCAAGTTGTAGGTTTGATCCCCATTTGGTGCACATACAGAAGGCAACCAATCGGTGTTTTCTCTCACATTGGTGTTTCTCTCTCCCTCTCCCTCTCTCTGAAATCCATGAAAACTTTTTTTTTTTTTTTAAATCTATCTTTATTGATTTCAGAGAGAGGAAGGGAAAGGGAGAGAGAGAGAAACATCAATGATGAGAGAGTCATTGATCAGCTGCCTCCTGCACATCCCCTGCTGGGGATCGAGCCCGCAACCCGGGCATGTGCCCTGACCAGGAACTGAACCACAATCTACTGGGTTATAGGTTGATGCTCAACTGCTGAGCCACGCCGGCCTGGCAATAAAAACATATTTTTTGAATGCTATAAAAGAGTTTTTTCCCTGGACCAGCATATGACTCAGTTAAGGACACACTAGGGAGTACTCAAGGAAGGCAGAAATGCTATGAGCTGTGGCGTGTCTGTCAGGGCTTGGCCAGAATTGAGCTGCTTGCCGGGCTTTTTACAGGTTGCAGGAAGTGAAAGGCATGGCTGATCGCATCATTAGCATGCGGACTCAGCTGGTCTCCAATCTCAAGAAGGAGGGGTCCTCCCACAACTGGCAGCACATCACCGACCAGATTGGCATGTTTTGTTTCACAGGACTAAAGCCCGAACAGGTGAGTGGACTCCAGTTTCTCTCTAGCAGACCAATTAGTCCTTCTAGGTCACCTAGCTATTCAGAATTACCCTTAAAACAGTCATTTGGGAGGCTTTTAGGTAACTGAAGTACATAGCATTCATTCTGCTTGTTTTTTATTAGTTAGTTACCAATCTGTATCCTCCATGAGGTTCCAAACTTCCAAAGAGCAGGACTTGTTTTCATCGTTTTTGTGACCACTGCTTCTTCTCTGCAGAGATCCCAGAATAAGCAGGAGCCTGAAAATTAGAAAGAAAAAAACTGATCCATCACTGGATCCTGGATCTGTTTTTTCTACAGATGCTGAATCTAAGACTTTTTTCACCTGTTCCCCTTCAGAATTCATCACCCTACATTCAACACCCTAGCTTTTTTTTCTTCTTTCACTCTAAGATAGCACACTCAATTCTGGGAGTAGGGTTTAAGTGAGAAAATAGAGCCTCTGTTGTTTCTTTGTCTTAATATATCACCTTGCTAACTGGTCATGAGATAACTCACGTCTACACTTACGTTAATTTAAGTAATTTTGAACACCTTGCTGACCGGCCACGATGGAAAAGTAGCCAGCCCCACGGGCGAGTTCTGGCTCAAAATAGCAGATCAGCAAGGTTTAACACATGGCTGTAGTGCCCTGCCAGGGCTGGGGGTTCCCCATGAGCAGGACATGCCCAAGTATTCTTCTTTCTGCAGGTGGAGCGGCTGACCAAGGAGTTCTCCGTCTATATGACAAAGGACGGCCGCATCTCCGTGGCAGGTGTCACCTCCGGCAATGTGGGCTACCTTGCCCACGCCATTCACCAGGTCACCAAGTAATTTCCCTGATGAGAGGGAACAGAGACAACCTTCCTGTCAACCTCTGCTATTGTGAGATTCACACAGAGGAAGAGGGAGGGTGGATGGTGGTGAGCGGACTGGTTCTTTCAACCACAGTACTTAAAACTCAGCATTCAAATGTGTTTCTCAGCAAAGAACGTGTAGGGAAATAGGCGGAGGCATCTGTGGCTGGTGCGTGGAACTTTGTGGCTCTGAACCAAACTCTCCCTCATCTCTGTATGTCCAGCTTTTCTGAAAGAGTTTACATGTACAAGAAAGTCATAGCCAAAAAAAAGATCAATCACACCATTGCAATATTCCAGAAGCTTTAACTGAAGCACCTTCCGGTGTTGATTCAGCATGAAAATGCCCCTTATTAGAGGCTTTGTGAGAAGACCTAGTTCTAACAATAATAGTCAGCCTCATGTGTTTCCTCCTGGGATCGAGCAGCCTTATCAACAGATCACGTTTGCAGAAATCGTGTTTTGTGAAAACCGGTGACTCGGCTGCCACTTCAACAAGGAAAATCAAAAGATGCTGTTTTCGGTCTTATTTGAGAAAAAAAAAGAAGGCTCTTCTTGTATTTACTTGTGGGCATTTTAATTTCCCCTCTCCTCTTTTATCACTGGTGTTCTTTTCCTTAGGCACAAAGATCTATAACCAGCCTAGATTTCCATCCTGTTCTACTGCTTGATTGACCATCACCCCACCCTGTAGCATTTACTTATTTGAAGATTGAAGAGCATAATTTACTGCTCACCCCATAGCCTCACCCTTCTCATCAAAGAATAGCAGAGGATGGGTAACAACCTACTTCCGCCTCCTCTTCAGTGATTGCCTGTCTCCTGCCGGCATGTCGCCTCTGCCCAGTTGGACCTTGGGCCTTCGCCCAGTCTGTTGTGCAGTCACTCGTCTCATCTTGAGTTGGGTGATGCAGGGTTGAACCAGGCAAGAGGATGTTCAGGGCTTTGGTTTTGACCTTCGTGTGCGTCCAGCTGGGCTCAGGCTTCATTCACCCTTTAGAAAGATAACCACCATCTGCTCTAATGGTGTAGACTTACTGCAGCCTGGTTTCTCTGTTACAATAAAGTTACTGTAGACCCGACCACTGTCTGCTATGTTATCTTTTTTCTTTAATGGGAGGAAAGGGCAGGAGTGGGTGTATATGCCAGAAATCTGAAGTCATGCCCAGCTGACTGTAAGCCAATAGATGTGTTAGCTGTCCTGAACATGAACTAAAGCCACATCTTGTCTTTATCTTGCCACTCGTCTTGTCCAATCCAAAGATGGTGAACATGTTGGTATGATCCACTGGACCTTGGGGGACAGGTGGAGTACCTCAAAGGATCTTGTGGATGTTAGCAGGGAGCAGAGGAGATGGAGGGGAGGTGGTAGCTTCAGGGGTCTATTGGAGCCAAGTAGGTAATATAAACAGTGAAGGTAAAGTTAAAACAGTGATGCAACCTGGATGTAAAATGATCGTCGGTGACCAACCCCCATCCTCAGTGATGCAGAGTAATAGGGAAGTGACAGGCACTGTGAGAATGAAAGTCCAGGGTTGCAGGTCTTCGATTTTTCAAATCCTGATTTTTATGGGAGGTCTGATGCTTAAAAGTTGGCAACTGATGCAGTGTTTTTAATGATTCACAAGCAAGATGCAAACAGGCCGCCAGTCTGTGACCTCTACCGTAAAGTAACCTACTCTGTCAACAGACATCAAGCACTGGCACCTGCTTGACATCAAGTTTATTCTGTCGCTTTCTGCTTTGTGCTAGGAGCCATTCAAGATGGGACAGGTCCTGGCCAGACGCAATGGAGCAGGAGTCGGCCTGAGCACATCTGAAGTGCTTGGATAGTTTTTGGGAGGGGGTAGGGACCTCAACTTGCTCTTTCCCCCTTTGCTTCTGCTCACTCCCTGAGGGACACGGTTCACAGCTCCTGACCCTGGCTCTTCTGTGTCCCTGTTGGGAACGGGTCCACCAAGGTGGTGAATGGATGAGTGAGTGAACTTATCTGGAATAGACTTTGATTGGATGTCTTTGGAAAAGTATCTTAAAAGGGAAAACAGTAAACATATTATTATTCAGCTGCTCTGTACAGGGACTGACTGCCCAGGATAGGAGAAGCTGCTTTAAGTCTTCCCGATGGAACCAAATGGTTGAAAGTCGGCTGCCAAGACCTCAGCTAGAAAAGGAACCTTACCACTCTGCTGACCTCATTATTTTTAAACACATTTATTGCCAGGTGGCCCTGGAATAGGTCCCTCTCCTCACCAAACACAGTCACATGGGGAGTGTTTTTCTCAGCAGTTCAGACTGTTTGCCTTGAACCCTTTCCTAGTTTTCCAGTGGGTGGGAGATGTTAATGTTCACCCACCAGATGAAAGGTGGTTTGCCTGCTCAGGAAGAATAGCCACACCTTTGTTTTATTATAGTTTAAGGTAGAGTAGCTTCCAATTCTGGACTTTTTCAAAAAAACATTGGTTCCCTAGACTTACCTCTGGACATTCTGACTCAAAATGTCTGAGATAAAGCTTGGGATCATTTTGTTTTTTACATAATAGAAAACTTTCTGAGTAGTTCAGATACAGCTGACCCTTTGACCAGCCATTGGATACTATTAGACTAAACTGCCCCAGGCTTACATCTAAATGCCCAAAGTCCAGCTTGAGAATTTTTTTCTTACTAACTGTGGAATTTTTTTTCCATAGAAATTATTGGTTTATATCTAGTAAGTGTACGGCCAACTTTTTTTTTTTAATAATCTTATAAACATCTTGAGGAGCCCGGGCTGGGTAGCTCGGTTGGTTGGAGAGTCGTCCCAACAGCCAAAAACAACCCAAATGTCCGATCGACTGATGAATAAATATACAGAATGTATGTATAGCTATACCATGGAATACTATTTAGCAATAAAACGGAATGAGGTTGGTGAAACTTGGTAACAGTTCGGCCAAAGCACCAAGTAGGTTAGTGGTTGCCAGGGGCTTGGGGGAGGGAGAAAT